TTGCAATACTTGATTTTATCAATGTACAGGCAGTCCTTGGACTTACAACACGATTGGTTCCTGAAAACCGCGTCTTAAGTCGAAACATAACTTGGAACCGATTTTCCCATAAGAAATAATGTTATAAATGGGGGATTAGTTCCTGAACCAAGGCCCAATACCCTGTTTTCACCAAAAAATAACCCAGAATGTTGTACTCAATCAATTAAAGATGAGTAACATAGCTACATTAATGTATTTATATTGTAAATAGCAATCATATTGATTTGGAAGTCTTCTTTGAGGTGACTTTGCTGGACTTTTTGAAGGGTTCTTGACTGGACTCTTCTCAGGAGTCTTGGCTGCAGGTTTTTCTGGAGTCTTGTCTGCTTTCTTAAAGAAAGTGTCCAAGGAAGTTTGAACAGATGTTCTCCAGGGAGATGGGTGACACAGTGAACTTGTTCGCTGGTGTGGCGTTGCATCGGATCAAGCATTGTAAAGTCGAAACTGACCTCAGAAAGTTGAAACAGAGTGTCAATTTATAAGCATTGTAAGGGCAAAACGTAACTCAAAATGTTGTAAGTCGAGGACTGCCTGTAATGGAAGAGGAACCCTTGCCATTCTCAGAGTCCTTTCCATTGTCAAGCCTGCCTTTTTATTTATTCTCCCAGAGAGGGGAACTGCTTCCTAGGTAGCAGTGTCCCATCATCTTCCCAGTACAGGCCTCCTGCTGCATACATCCCATGTATGGTTGATGGGGCGGAAAAAAAGACGTGTACATGTGTAGGTAACAGCGCAATTGGATCTAATGTGTGATCTACATAATCACACCTCCTGCCATGCATGTAGGGGGAGCCCAATCCTGGGCTCCTTATGTATTGGCAAGAAGCAGGCACCCATGGCTGAGAGACCCCTTTCCTGAGGGGGCTCCCAGCTGCGGGGGGAGTTGGGGGGAGAGGGGCAGTGGCCACACACACCTGGGATCCAGAGATCCCACAGCTGACAGGTCTCTGGGTCTGGGCTGCACTTCATGGGCAGCTGGAACCCGGAATTCCCCAGCTGACAAGGCTCTGTGTCCTGGCTGCTAATGAGGTGCAGCCCAGACCCAGAGCCCTGTCAGTTGTGGGGTCTTTAGGTCCTGGCTGTCCACAAGGCACAGCTGGAACCCAGAGCCCTGTCAGCTGCAAGACTCTGGGTTCCAGCTGCCCATGAGGCGCAGCCAGGACCAAGAGCCCTGTGTGGGGCCAGGGGTTTCACGCACCCCTGAGCCTTGGGGATCATGGCAGCCACAATTCCCAGGGCTTGTGGGGTTTGCATCCCTGTGGCTGGGAGCCCTGTTAGCTGATGGGCTCCAAACTGCAGTGGTACATGTGCAAATTAAAGCTCAATAGCTTTCCTTTCCTTTTGCATGTCCTTGTGCCCAAGGTATTTAACGCAATTCAGAGATTTGCTGAATCTGACAGGCCACGCTGTGGGTGCTTCAATCAGCTATAAAGGTAGTACACTTTTTCAAGCTCTAACCTTATAAAGGGTTGAAGCTTTTTATCCTGTGATAACTATTTTGTATGTGTAGCTGGTTTTAAGGTAATTGTGCAATTAACCAGTTAATGCACAATACCTGCAACATGTAGAGGGGGCTTTAGAGATTAGCCTGTACCAGAAAGCAAAATCTCCTTTCTCGATCATCATCGACAGTATTACTTTTGCTTGTAACTTTTGACTCAGACTTCTTTTTATTGTCTGATGTCTAGGCTGCATCTAAATCTTTCAGGTTATTTTGATACCTCTATGATTCAGACTTTTTACTTATCCACACTGATAAAATCTGTCCACAAAGGTAATATCTCCTCCATTTTTTCATCATCTTGTGTCTCAGTCCCTGCAACATCCTTTTCCCTGGTCTTGACAAATGTAATGTTGCCTTCCTGTCATCCATCCAGAATGCTGCTGCAAAGATAATTTCCTCACCTGTTGCTTTGAGCCTGTCTCCGCTTTCTTTAAATTCCTCTACGGCCTCTCCTTCACTGTTAAATTAAACATAAGCGGCTTGTCTTCACTATCACTTAATGCCCGTTTCTCAACCTGCTTACCATCTTGGCACTGATGTGAATTCCTGTCTCCATTCAGACTGACTAGGTTGCAGTACTGCAGAAAAGGATGAGAGGTTATAATGTACCTAAAACTGAATATGATTCAGCTGTGTGCCCTTTTTACCAAACAAGCCAATAGCATACTAGACTCTACTTAATAGGAGCATTGCTTGCAAGTCAAGACAAACGATTCTTTCCCTGTATTCAGCACTGGTGAAACCTCACCTAGAATACTGTTGCTATTTTTGGGCACTGCACTTCAAGAAAGACATAGACAAATTAGAAAGTTTTCATCAGTGAATAACAAAAATGATTATTTACAAGGAAAGACTGAAAGAACTAGGATTATTTAGTCTGGAGAAGAAAAAAAATAGGGATATTTGATGATAGTTTTCAAATATCTGAAGAGGGTGGCTTTGGAGACTACGATGTTAAAAGGTGACTGCGGAGGACAGAAGTAATGGTCTTAAATTGCAGCAGGGGAGATTTACGTTGGCTATTGTGAAGAACTGTCTCCCTATGAGGGTTGGTTAAGCATTGGAACAAATAACCTCAAGAGGTGGTGGAATCTCCATCCTTGGAAGTTTTTAAGAATAGGTTAAATAAACACTACTTGCAGAGTGGAAACCTCTTGGTTTTTAAACTTTCTTTTAGAAAGAATGCTGTATGGCTTATAAATGGAGTTCTCCCCGTTAACACTAAATAATAATAATCACACTTTTGTACCAGCTTCTAAATTCAAACTTATCTTGCATGATTTAAATTTTTGCCGATATGCAACAAGAATATGTTGCTAGATTTCCAGTATGATTTGTTTTTGTTTGGGTTTTTTTTAAATATATATATTCTTTAATCTATTTCCAAGGGAGGAGTGGGGTAGCCCCAGATGGGTAGGAACTAGAGGGGAGAGTCTCTTTAACTCCCAGCTTTCATGGAGAGCATGGAATTAAAAAAAAAAAAATCTATGTAGATTTCAAAGTTATTGTGGAAAGTCCTACGGAGGGATGGGGAGCACGGGGAAGGCATCGTCATGCTAACCCTAACATTGTCCTCCAGCTTTAGTCCACCCTTCCTAAAGACCTCCATGGCATTTGCATCTGATAAACTCCTGTGTGACTGCTGTTTCTAGTGCCTAGAACAGAGGTGGGCAAAGTCCAGCCCGAAGGCTGGATTGGGCCTGTGGTGGACTCTGTTTCCCAGCAGCCCCTGCCTGCGTCACTGCAGCTGATTTACATGAGGACCCCAGGAGTGGGGGTGCTGTGACAAGGGGGAGCCTGGGTTTCCATGGAGACTGGCCGACAGGGCATGCAGCTGGGTGGGGAGCTGCTCCAGGGCTAGGATCTTGTGGTGGTGACAGCGTGGTCAAGACAGCGAGCCGGGTAGACCTGCGATCTGCTGCCTGGGCACGTAAGGCAGGGATGCGGTGTGGTGTGCAGGCAGCAGATTGTGGTTCTGCCCCAGCTCTGGACCATGCTGTCACCACTGCAAGATCCCAGCCCTAGCTGCAGAGTAGCAGCCTGCCCAGCTTTGCCCTCTGCCAGTGCTGCTCAGGCCAGTCTCCATGGAAACCCCCTCCCCACACTGTCAGGGTGCTGCTGCTACTGGGGTCTCCATGGAAACTGGCTGCAGCGACATAGGCGGGAGCTGCTGGGAAATGGAGTCCGGCCGCTGGCCGGATCCACCATTTTGCTCACCCCTGGCCTAGAAGCTTTGCAGGTTTACACTGAAAATCTGCCTTCTCCTTGTTTGTGTTGGAGGTAGTGGATAGCTCCTGTAAATTCTACCTGGAGCTTGGGGTGGGGGCAGAGATTGCCATGGGCAAGAGAATGAACTTCTTTTCTGTGACCCATATAATTTGGGAAGGACAGTCACCAAACTAGTAGTTCATTTTTGCTGCTGTTCTAGTGTGTTTGAAATATAAATGTTAAATTTTGGAAAGAAGCAGATGAGGAGAGCAGTGCAGAGTTCCATTCTAGGAGTCTGCTTCCTGGGGGATGTCTACTCGTTGTTAATTAGAAACGTGGACTGGAAGAGGAACCTCCTAGTCTATTAAGTCCAGCCCCCTACTTTTACATGAAGCCATTTAGCCAACAGTTCCTACATTAAGACCCAGTGGGACTCTCCTCTGGTTGGGATAGGGTGGATTAAGATCCAGCACTTCTCTGGAGTTAGTTGGTCCCTGGAAAACCTTTAGCAGTCCTTTGCTTTTCATCTTGTAGTTTGAGTAGGACTCCTGGAATTTTTATTTCTGGACTCCTAATTTTTTTTTTAAAGTTCATTTGACTCTTTTGTTTTAAGTACTTGGTGTACAAGGACTTCTTACAGTGTAGAACTGCATACAGATTAAGGTAATTGATGGACATGGTGCAGTGCCCTAATTCTAGCAAAGAATGTTACTCCCAAATTTATCAACTGAGATTAAGCCAGGTCAGCCAGTAGCAGAAATGGCACCTTTGTTAATCTCTTGACTTCTGGGAATTTTGTATGCACTCCTATCCTGGGTCCTGGGGCCTGTGGTAAATTGTGGCCCTCGTCCTTTGACAATCTTGTCAGAAAGCCCAGAAATTGAATGAATAGGCACAGACAAAAGTACTCTTCAAGTAACAAATGTGAGGCATACTGCCATGGCTCACATCGTATGGACAGAGGAGGATTTCAGTCTTTTATTTATTTATTTATTTATTTATTTATTTATTTTTTAACTGGATCTTAAGGGAAACATGGATGTTGTCATATTTGGAGAGGTCACACCATATTTCTGGTGCTGGCAGCCTTCCTAGCTTTTTGTTCCTTTTTATTGTGGTGATAGTTTTTCTTTATACAGAACTTCACAATTCTTTTTTTGCTTTACTAGTTACTTGGTGGTTTTTGTTTTGTTTTTTTGTGCAAGGAATACAGCAGTCTGACTCAAATTTGTTTTAATGATTTCAGAATTCTCAGCGTCTCCCAGATAAATACCGAGCTCACACACTTTTTGGTTGTGGGAAGGACTGGCCAGAGAATTGGTGGAAGGCATTAGGACGAGAGCTTATCAGTGAGGGATTCCTTAAAGAAGTTTCCGGTCGAAACAAATTTGCAACCATGTGTGTGCTTACTCAGAAGGTAATCCTCACTGTAAAATCTTAAGGCCAGAGGTTTCTTTTAACAGTCAAAACTTTAAAAATGTTGTGTTTCTTTCACAGGGTAGAAACTGGCTACATAAAAGTAAAACTGGATTGCATCAAAGCCTTCTGTTACAGCCTAGTGAAGAACTATATCTTAAGAAACTTCATTTCCCAAGGTAACTATAGGTGTATATACAGTAAAATCTCTGTTATCCGGCATCCCTGGGGTAAGGGGATTGCTGGTTATGTAAAATTTCCAGTTATCTGAAAACCGCCAACAGCGGTTGTAATTCCTTGGCTTGCCAAGGTGGGAATGACCTGGGAGATGGTGTCAAAGGTCTTGCCAAAATTGAGGCATATCACATCTATTGCTCCTCCTCCTTCAATGCATAGAGCCTGTCACCTTGTCACCAAAGCAGATCAGGAGCTCAGGATAAGTTCACTTTGACTGTTCCTGATCATCTGTTCTTCTCCCCATGCTTATATGTGGATGCCTTGATCTGCTCTATGAACTTTCCAACGATTAAGACCAGACTGATTGGTTTTTCTTTCTTTCCTTAAAGGGCACTATATTTGCCCTTTTCCAATCAGCCCAGGACCTCCATGAGTTTTCAAAGATAATAGCCAGTGACTCTCTAATTACCAGGGACCCTGGTTTTCCCTGATAAAAAAAAAATAAAAAAAAAATCAGAAATTCTCTGTTAAAAAATCCTAAATCCATGATTAAAATGAAAGGCCCCCCACAGCCCCCCTGGCCCTGTTGGTGCCCCTCACCCACCACACACAGGTCCTGCTCCCTCAGCCCTGCCAGAGGGGTCCCCGGCTTCCAGGGCTATGGGGCCAGGGACCCAGGCCCCTGGCAGGAGGCGGCGGCTGCTGCAGTGGAGTGGAGCCCAGCTCCCCACCTGCTGCCTGCCTGCTGCCGACTCAGGTGAGGAGAGGGGGGGCAGATCCCCACAGTGGTGTGCACTCCCAGGGGGCAGGGGGATCCATCCCCCCCCAGATCTGTGCGCAGGGCGGGGGCCATGTGCTGCCCACTGCGGGCTCCTGCCCTGCTGCCTCCCCCAGGACCTCTGCAGCCTGACATATACAACCTGGCACTGCAAAGAGCAGCGGGCAGGGCTTCACAGGAAAGCTGCTTACCACTGTGAGCTCTGCACTGCCTTAGCGATGTGTCCTCTGCAGGTGTGGCTCCAGTTGGGATGGCAGCATAGGGTTGTACTTAAGGGACATGTTGCCAGGGCAGTGCGGAGCTCGCAGCACCAAGCAGCTTTCCTGCATGGCCCTGCTATTCTTTGCAGCGCTAGGTTGCACCCACTGCACTGTGGAGGCCCCAGGGGAGGGCAGCAGGGCGGAAGCCCAAGCCTGAAGCAGGCAGGATGTGCCTGCGTTTGCGTCACGCACAGATCTGGGGAGCATGGGTCTGCCCTGCTCCCTGGGAGTGTGCACAGGGGTGGGAAGCAGCACCCACTGCGTGAGCCCACAGTGGGGAGTCTGCCCTGCCCCTGCCTCACTCACAGATCTGGGGGGGCACAGGTTCCCCCTGCCCCCTGGGTGTGCATGCAGCAGTGGGGAGCTGGCCCCACCCCCTGGATGAGCTATCCATGGCTGTATCCCTCTCCCTGCTGGGACCTGGCAGTTGTGCATTGCAGCCCTGGGCTCCATGTCCCGGGCATTGCATGGCTGGGCAGAACCCCAGCCCCTGCCCTGCCCAACTCCCTCCCTCCCTATGGGGGCCTCAGTTCCCTCTCCCCCCACACTTATCTGTGGGAGCTGGTTTTCAGACTGCCTGGGACTATGTGCAGCACCACCTGCCTGTTGAGCCTGTTACCTGTCCACCTTATAGTAGTTTTGCCCAGCCCACATTTCTCCTATTTGTCTGAGAAGGTTGTGCGGGATCTTGTCAAAACTGTTGCTAAAGTCCAGATACAGTATATCCACAGCATTCCCTTCATCCACCCAAGTAGTTACTTTCTCAGAGAAGGTGATCACATTTGTTTGACTCAATTTGTTTTTCACAAATCCATGCTGGGTGCTTTTGAACAGCCTTTCCTTCTCTAGATGCTTGTAAATGGCCTTCCTTAGGATATGCTTCAGTACCTTCCCAGGTATTAAGGTGAGGCTAATTTGTCTGTAATTCCCCAGATTCTCCTTTTTTTAAAGTAGGGCACTACATTGATCCTTTTCCAGTCCTCTGATACCTGGCCCATTTCCTGCAGCTTCATGAAAATCATTGCCATGGGCTCCAAGATCTCCTCTGCCAGTTGCTTCAGGACCCTGAGATGAAGTTCATTTGGCTGTGCCGACTTGAATTCATTCAGACGCAGTTAGACAAGTTATGCACTTATCCAATATACATAGAAGTGGAGTATACTTGTTATTCCTCTTTTTTCCCCCCTAAAACTATCGTAATTCCAGATTTAGCAGAAGAAAATGCTCTGGAAATGTTAATTTTTAGACATGTATCAATTCTGCTTTTATTTTGCATTGACAGCCTACTATTAAGAGTGATTTATTTGTGCTTTGAATAAGATTGAGTCCATTTTCTTACAGTACCAGACAAATGCCATTGGTTTCTGGGGAGCATTCATCAAACACAAAGTTAATGAAGACCCTGGTGACAAAGGTTTGTTACAGAAAAATGTTGTGTTATAGACTGGTTCTTTGCTTAGTAATGGACTGAGAGCTCCTTTTGCTTGACTCTAAAGTCTCTAGATATTTAAAGACTTAAGATGCACAGTGAAGCAACTTGCAGGATATATAAATAATATGTACAATAGTTGTCAGGTGTGTGATGAGCAAAATCATTGACACATTACTGACTGAAGTATTCCAGTCATGTAAAATTGTGTTAAAATAAGACATTTTTCTACTTATTCCATCATTGTGGCATAAGAGTATTATCAGTGCTACTACATGAATTACTGGGGTCTTAAGCCTAATGGCATATCTTCCATATATGACCTTTTTCTGAAACAAATGATCCATTGTACTCACTCCAGTTTCCTGCTG